ACAGGTAAAATAGAGAACGTGAATCTCCTTAACAGCAATAAAAACTGACAGATGTTTTAATCCCTCTGCATTCAAAACTAAAATAAAATATTTTGCCTTTAGATATACCTTAACCACTTCCCGTCCGCCCTATAGTAGAAATATTGCTACAGGGCGGCACGGGTGTGCAAAATCAAGTATATATACGAGATTTTGCATTTCTGGGTTGGGGGCGCTCGTGAACCGTGTGCGTGTCCTACCTGCACCACCATTCACAGCCGCGGCTGTCAATCACTGGGTCCCGGCCAGTGATTACCCGCCGGTGCTTAGTGATTACCGACAATCACACTGACGGGGAGGAGGGCTGCTTTGTTTACTAACAATCCTCCTCACTGTCGGCTCGGGCACACTGCTCTGGATGGTCACAGCCATCCAGAGCAGTGTGCTTACAGTGAAGCATACCCCCCTCCACCCCCAGTAAAACACTCCCATCACACTCCCATCACACAGTTAAACCTTTGATCGCCCCTCATGTTAACCCCTTCCCCAGTGCCATTAGTACAGTGTCAGTACTTTTTTTTTAGCACTGATCACTGTATTGGTGTCACTGGGGATGTCAGTGACACCAAGTCAGTTCCCCCCAGTGTCAGAATGCCCACCGCAGTCCCAAAGTCCCGTTATAAGGCGCTGATCGCCGCCATTATTAGCAAACCAAAATAACAATTCCAGTATCTATACCACCATTTGTAAACACTATAACTTTCACATAAACCAATTTATTTACACGTATTGGGATTTTTTTTAGTAAAGACATGTAGCAGAATACATTTTAGCCTAAATTTATGACGAAATTTGATTTTTAAATTTTTTTTTTACTAGACATGTTTAACTGCTTCTGCACCACCCTATAGTAGAAATACAGCTACAGGTTATGCAAAATCACGTGTATATATACGTGGTTTTTGAGCCCCTCCCAGATAGCGTCAGATTACCCGTCAGTTCACCAGTAATCACATATAACCCCTTGATTGCCAGGAACACGCTCATACACAATAAACCTCCATTGCTAGTATAGTGTCTGAACGGATCAATATCTTTGATCAGATCAGCACTATACCAGCGTTCACATTAGTATAGTGTCCCCAAAAACGCAGCGCCAGCACCTGCGTTTAGCCCCTACGCTTACCTCCCCCTTCTCCACTAGCAAGTGCTGTGTCAGTAGGTCACTGTCACTTGATACATTACACACAAAACCGCAGTGTTCGCAGAACCAGGCCTGATCTCTGTTAGCACTTGCCGGTAAATTTGTTTGTAGCGGTTCAAGCACTCCCTGACCGCCAGGTACTCTTTTTTCCATGAGTCGCACTAGGTACTTATAAATTTAGTGGTCAAAATGTCAATGGAAAGGTACACTAGTGAAGAGACCTACAGGATTCTGAGCATGTCAGATGAGAGCGAAGGGGAATAATCACTAACATAATCAGCCTCAGAATATGAACCTGTAGACAGCAGCGGCACCCTGACAGATAGCTCAGACAATGAAGAAGAGGTTCCTGCTAAGATGAGGTGTACTCGACCCCATTCCCAGGTTACTGAGATGTTACAATTGCATAATGACTCTCATATACAGCAGAGTGCCAGTACTAGTGCCGCTCTACCTTTTGGTGAACTGGTGAGCACCAGCGACCTAGTACATCCTGGTCTTTCACATACCAGCACTACAGTATCACTTGGTGACGTGGCGAGTCCCATAAGTGCAGTACAAGCTGGTGCGGTGGCGAGCACAAGTATTGTCCCGCAACCACCAAGAATTCGCACACAGGCCCATAGAGCCCCTAGTATCGTTCTGGATGTGCTTGCAAATCCCGATTGGTAGGCCACAAATTCTGCAGCACCCGTACTTCCCCCATTCACTGGCCAACCCCGAATTCATTTGGAAACAGCAAATTTAAATACTACCCTTGATTTTTTGGAGCAGGTTTTCACAGACGATCTGTATGCATTGATTGTGGATCAAAGCAATTTATATGCACAACAATTTATCGCTGCCAACCCAAATTCAAACCTTGCCATACCATTCGCATAGAAACCCATTACAGTTTGCAAATTTAACGTATTTTTGGGCCTAACCCGCAACATGGGCATTACTAAAAAAAATTATTTGCAGTTGTATTGTCCACAGACCCGATTCATCATATGCCTGTGTTCTCTGCTGCCATGGACAGATATAGATATGAGAGTATAATGTATTTTATGCATTCCAATGACAACACACTCTGTCATACTTCGGGTGACCCTGAATTTGACCGCCTCCACAAAATTCGACCCCTTAAGCAAATATTTGCAGATGTCTATACTCCCCAGCAAAACATCTGTGTTGATGAGTCCCTCATTCATTTTTCTGGCGGCCTTGCATTCAAAAATTTCACCCCAGCAAGCGTGCCAGATATGGGGTCAAGATATAGAAGACCTGTGAGAGGGCAACAGGCTATACATATAAGTTTCGGATTTACGAGGGAAAAGTGTAAAAAAGTCACATGGAGCTGCTTGGATGCCCAGACTATATGGGGAGCAGTGGCAAGATAGTTTTGGGACTTGGTGTCATCCTTTTTCCATATGGGGTGCCACTTATAAGTGGACAATTTTTATTCAAGCGTGCCACTATTTAAACATTTGTATAATCTTCGAATTGGTGCATGTGGCACCTAATCGCTGGGGCTTTACCCAGCGGCTTGTAAATACCCATCTTAGAAAGGCTGCTTGAGAAATGACGATGTCATTCAGCTGCAGCACTGACTTGTTTATTCTGACAGCAACAGGGTCTTGCTCTCAGAATATACATAAGTAGGTGTGTGCAGTGCTGTTGGATGAGATTTTTCATCCACAATTAAAAAAGAACATATATGCCAAAGCATGCGGGTCCGGGATGGCCAGTGGGTGGATGGCCCCTATGCTTTGACATATATATTTTATAATATTATTTTTTGGCACATTTCATGTGTGCCCACCTTTAGAAGTGGGTGGATACAGGGCGGTATGTTCTAATGGTGGACATACCACACACTTTTTCTGGCAGAGATTTCTTCTCTTTTTTTCCATTCAGCCCACAGGCTGCATAAAAAAAAAAAAAATAGCATATACACCCAACAAGGACCAGTGACGTACTGGTACATCACTGGACTTTGACTGCAGGCATCATCCTGGTACTGTTTTTTTCAGCCAGCAATCGTCTTTCATGTAAAAGCAAACCTAGTGGCTTATTATCTGCAGTATTGCTTTTACAAGCAGCGGGAGAAGATGCCCCGCTGCCTTCAACGGCCTTCTCGGGCAGTCCCATTCCATCGTGGGCACCTGAGAATGCAACCTGTGTTTCTGCCAGCTGACCATAGAGCTGATTGGAGACCGGAATGGTGCCAATCATCTCTATAGTCTAATAAATTGGAAGCTACGAGCATTTCATCACTTCAGTTTCACAGGATATAAACAGCGCCATTTGTAAATTGGAAAAGTATCTGATCATACCGATCTTGGTGATAATAGATAATGTAAGGGCAAAGAAGATATCTAGAGTCTGATAGACCCCAGATTTCTCAAAAAAGAATATATGACAATGCTCATTGAAGTTATAGTGGATATTTGCATTCCCTGTGATAGCATTAAAAGTGATTAAAAAAATGAAAGGGACAGTGTAAAAATCGAAATAACTTAAAAAAAAAAAAAAAAAAAAAGCACCCTTGCCCCCCTCAAACACACACACCTGCATGCTTGAGCGCTGACCCCGTGGCAGTATGTAAACAGCGGTTGCACCATGCAGATCAAGGGCAGTAATACTAGCACCAGACCTCCTCTGTAAATCTAAAATGGTAGCTTTTATAGGCTTTTAAAGCATTGCCTATGGATATTAAAAATGTTTGCAGTTTGTCGCCATTGCACAGGGCATACACAGTTTTAAAGCATGTCATGCTTAATATCTATTTACTTGGCATACCATTATCTTTTATATTTTACCAAATAATTGGCCAATATATTGTGTTTTTGTGCATTAAAAGAAAAAGTGTATTTTTGAAAAAAAATTAGCGTTTGAAAAATCGCTGTGCGAGTACTATGTGACATAAAAAATTGCAGCACCCACCATTTTATTCACTAGGGTGTCTGCTTTAAAAAATATATAATGTTAGGGGGTTGAATGTAATTTCCTAGCAAAAAATACAGATTTTTTTCATGTGAACAAAAAGTATCAGAAATGGCTTGGTCTTCAGGTGGTTAGAAGAGTGAATGATGTGTGGCATAAATTTCTAACACTGGGAATAAAATGCCCCCACCACCCCAAACCATTCGCTGAGAGGCATGTTGAATCAATAGAAGAATTTATTTTTTTACCACAAGTTTCAAATATACTGTATGTCTTTAAAAATACAAATCTACATTTCTGGAATGCATTTACAAATATATGTAAAAATATATGTTAAAATAATTTTTTCATATGTTAAAAAAAATCTGAAGAATAAATTTTAAAAATACCGTATTTTCCGGCGTATAAGACGACTTTTTACCCCTTGAAAATCTTCTCAAAAGTCGGGGGTCGCCTTATACGCGGTGCCGCCGCCGCCCCTCCCCCCCTTCCAACAGAAGGTAAACTAAGTACAGGGGTGGGCAGGGGCTGCTGTCTCTTACCTGGCTCCGGTCCCACGACGATCCGGTCCAGGAAGCGCGGCTGCTCCTTCCTTCGGTTCGTCCACTGGATGTTCGCGCGGCTGCTCGGCTCCGCCTCCTCACCGGTGATTGGCCACCAGAACTGTAGCTCAGGAAAGGCACACAGGCGGCCAATCACCGGCGAGGAGGCGGAGCTGAGCGGCCCCGCGAAAATCGAGTGGAGATGCAGGTAAGTGTGCCGTGTTTAGGTGCTGCTGCAACCACATATGCTGGCTGCAGCAGCACCATACTGGAACAGGGGTTAGCAAGTGTCAGTGGGAGGAATAGTGCCCCATCGTTGGTGTCACTGATACCAATGATGGGGCATTATTCCTCCCACTGACACCAACGATGGGACACTTTTCCTGCCCCCTACTGACGCCAACAATGGGGCACTATTCCTCCCCCCCCCACTGACACCAACGATTGGGCACTATTCCTTCCCCCCCACTGACACCAATGATGGGGCACTATTCCACCCCCCCCCACTGACACCAATGATGGGGCACTATTCCACCCCCCACTGACACCAATGATGGGATACTATTCCTCCCCCCCCACTGACACCAACGATGGGGCACTATTCCCCCCCCCCACTGACACCAATGATGGGATACTATTCCTCCCACTGACACCAAAGATGGGGCACTATTCCACTGACACCAATGATGGGGTGCTATTCCCCCCAATGATACTAATGACGGGGCACTATTCCTGCCACTGATACCAATGATGGGGCACTATTCCTCCCACTGACACCAATGATGGGACACTATTCCTCCCACTGATACCAATGATGGGGCACTATTCCTCCCACTGATACCAATGATGGGGCACTATTCCTTCCACTGACACCAATGATGGGGCACTATTCCCCCCACTGGTGTACACTGGAAGAGGGGTAGCCTTATGCAGCGAGTATAGCCCAAACAGTACATTTTAAACAGGAAAAGTAGGGGGTCGTCTTATACGCCCAGTCGTCTTATACGCCGGAAAATACGGTATATATTTTGAAAAATATGTTTTTTTTAAATATATATATTTATTGAAATATATTTTGAAATATATTGAATATAGCCACAATTGTAGCATTTCAAATATATGTCAATATATTTGGGAAGAATATTTTTAAAATATATTTCAAGTATATTTTTCTTCCATATGGAAGCGTAGGTATTAGTAGTCTTCACCTCCCTCTGGTGCCCCATAATTTGAGAGCACCGTCCCAGGGAGGGTTCAGTTGAACAGGACCTCCCTCTTACATTTGTAGGGTCTGTCTTCTTATGGCAACCAACAGGGCATAGTAATGGAATGAGCAACAATTTATTTGTGCATAATAGTACATGGGTTCTTTAAAATATAGGCAGTTCAAGGTGTCGGAGCAGGGTCAAAATAAAGTATTTGATACTTATCATGCTGCAGCCATGAGTGTCCTCAGTGAGTCTGGGAGTGTGGAGGAGCCCTTCCATAGCAGTTTCACCAGTATAACCAGCTGCCTCAGAAGTAGGCTTGGGTTTGTTTGTCTGGCTTGCTCAGATAAACTGATCCCTTAAAATGGCCGCCATGTACCCACTGCGCATGCACAAAATGTGATGACGTCACAACACTAACATGCGTGCGGGAAAGTGACATCAATCCAAAAATACATATATTGAATATTTGAGGTGCTATCTAGTGGATAATGGCAAACTGCATACAATATGAAAAGCACATACAATATAGGCAAAAGTGTTGCATCTAAAAAACCCACTAGAGGACAACTAATTGGGGACCAATAGCTGGCAAGCCAACAAGAGTATAAAATACAATACTAGCAAAGAATGACGTTCAGGTGTATACCAAAGACCATCAGCCTACATTTCTACGTATCACTCTATATACAAAACAAAAAACCTTTGAACAATGCCAAAGGTAAACCCTTAACAATAAAAAAAAAAAAAAAAAAAAAAAAGGATAAAATATTGGAGAGGAAGTCACGTGGTCAAAAAGGGGACAAAACTGGCGGTTTGGTAGCTTCAAGCTCCAAAATCCATCTTGCTTCACGTTGAAGTATCAGTTTATTGAAGTCCTCCTCCCCCCTAGTATCCTGGGGAACGACTTCCAAGACCCAGCACTGGAGAAATCTAGAATCGATATTGTGTTTTAAAAAAACAGATGTCTAGTTTACTGGGCCTCATGCACGCTGGCCAAAAAAAATGCTGCTCATACAGGTTTTTGGCATTTTTTTTTTCTTCAGCCTGTATAAGCAACTCTAGATTAGCCTAGTTGTCCCAGCACATTTGGGGATTACAGGCATATTTGCAGAAGAGCATTTTCAGGCTGAAAAAAAAAAACCCAACACAACTACTTCCCACCCGGCCTATAGTAAAATGACGGCTGGACGAACCTCTCGTCCCTCTAGTAGGGCGTCATATTATGTACTTCCCAGATCGCACTTTGTGCGTGCCCGCAGGACTGCGCTGTGGCGAGATCTGCCCCGGGCTGTATACCTCAGACACGGCCGATTACAGATCTGTGTACCGGCCCCGTTGCCAGTACCATCTGATCTGCTGTGATCAATCACAGAAGGTCACATGACAGTTGTATACAATAGATGGCTTCCTTTCATGCCATCCATTGTATACAAGTGTGTCTAGCTGTGAATGGTCACATGGCTAATCACATGACACAGTCCATCTGTGTCATGTGATTAGCCGTGGCCAAATCACAGCTAATCACAACAAAAAAACCTGAATGAATCTATTTCATTCAGTTAAATGCTTGCTTATAGCAAAGAAATTATTTGCTATAAGCAATCAAAAATTGTGTAAAAAAAAAAATACTGATCACTTCCCCAAAGTAGTACAATATTACTATGGTAACATTATAATACTTTGGTCATAGTGTAATATGAAAAAAAAATCTTAAAAAAAGAAAAAAATATATCAATTTTTTTTTGTACTTTCACCAGTCAGTGTCCCTGATCACGCCACACCAGTTATATGATGACAATGTACTGCACTGGTGACCGTATGTAAAAAACAATTGGTAAAATAATTTTTTTCAACTTCTTCATTTTCCAAAAAATATTCCAAACAAATTACAACTTCAAAAACTTGCCATGCCTCTTATGAAATACGTCGGACTGTCTACTTTGCAAAAAGGGGTCATTTGGAGGATATCTGTACTGTTCTGACATTCTTGGACCTCAAGAAATGAGATTGGCTGTCAGTACTTCAGGATTGATCAATTTTCAGATATATCCCATAGTTTGTGAACTCTATAACCTTCCTACAGACTAAATAATAAACACTAATTTGGGTTATTTTCACCAAAGACATGTAGCAGAATACATCTCGGCCTAAATTTATGAAGAACAATAATTTATTTGCAAACTTTTATAACAGAAACAAAGAAACGGTTTTTTTTTTCAAAATTTTCGGGTTTTTTTTTGTTAATTTAGCAAAAAATAAAAACCCCAGTCGTGATTAAATACGCACTGCGCTCTCAATGGATGGCATGCTGTCCATTGAGTGAGCCATGCCACGGGTGTGAAACCACGTACATGTGCAGGAGTGACACCATTGCAGTTCGGCTATTCAAGTGGCCAGAGCCAGCGAACTGGGAAAGAAGACCTGGTGAAAATGGATTCCCTGTCAGCAGTGACAGGGTGCTGATGGAGGGATAAATTTCACAGGTACGTCTGTCATAATGTGCTACAATGCAGTGCATACTAGCACATTGTGAGATTACCAGTTTGTTTTTTTCAAACGCGGTTTACTACCACTTTAACATAGATTTATGCCTGGTTACTAAAATCTTTGCCTTGAATGGGTGAGCCGACAGTGTCTCTTTATGTTATTATTATTATACAGGATTTATATAGCGCCAACAGTTTGCTCAGCGCTTTACAATATAACGGGAGACAATACAGCAACAATACAGTTCAATACAAGAGGGTTAGGAGGGCCCTGATCCTTGGAGCTTACAATCTAAGAAAATAATTTCTTTTAATCTTTTGGTGGTTTTCCTTATTCCTGTTACCACTATATGGAGCTATCTTCCTGCTCCATGGAACTTACAATCTAGGATGTTGACTATACACTCTAAATTCTGATTTGTACAATTCCCTTTAGATCTTCCAACAACTGTGTAGCACAGAGGTCTGCTTGATTGGTTGCAAACTGAATAAATTGTTCAGGTTGATTCTCGCTTTACACAGTTTTGATAAATCTAAAAAAAGATTACTTTAACATATGTGCAGCAGCAAAAGGGTGGGTTTTAACGTCCACATGGTGCACATATGCGTCAATGGGTGGCCAATGTTTCTGTGCAGGGAATGTGCTCACCAGGGGCGGACTGACCATTTGGAAACTCGGGCACTGCCCGAGGGCCCGGGGTCAGTAGGGGGCCCCATGAGATGCCCCTGGTACCTTTTTCATAGGCTTTTTTGAGTTTTGGCAAGGACACAGGGGCCCCATGATCCCCTATTGCCCGGGGGCCCCATAAGTTGTCAGTCCGTCCCTGGTGCTCACTGCTGTCCAAGCACAGAGATTGAACTGTCAAAGATAATTCTCAGTCTCCAGTAATAATGATCAGTAGCTGGAAGGCCCAGCTCCCAATCATGTGACCACTACGACAGCTAATCACAGTGGCCACATGATTGCCAACCCTTCCCGCACCTAGGCATACTGACCCAATTAAAGGGACACCAGGGCTGGGCAGTAAGGGGTCAAAAGAGATCTCTGACTTCACTAAAAAAATCAAACTGCTGTTTCCAAACAGGGATCCACTGAAATCACTAAAAACAACCAATGAAAATATTTACCTAATTTACTTAAAGGACATCTCATATGTGTCAGCCTCGCTCTCTCAATTATGTCATGTACTGTAGATTGAGTTCACTGCTTCAATGTAGTAGACCAAAGTACCCATTGCTACAATGGAGTTGATCTTTGCTTTTTATCTTTTTTTACCTGGCTTGTATTTTTACACCTAAAAGTCTACCAAATATAAGTTATTTGGCTAAGTAGATACAAATAGTAATTAGCAGAGCGCTCATAAAGTCAGAAAGTTTCTTTGATGTGTCCTAGATGTATGAGATATATACAAATAGTGTATGCTGGGTCTTAGAATGATAATCTCAGTTTAAAGTGAGAAAATAAATAACCAGTATGACGTTTGATGTGTCCTGCATGACTCAGGTGTACAGGAGCAAGTTATGGCTTGTATAAAATGTAAACTCACATTTCTTCCAGTGTCTGAAGTCACAGTGAGGTGTGATTATCTAGGGTGGGATCCCATATCTATTGCACTGTATTATCTCTATGTCCTTGGTAAGCAGATTTGATGTACAAAAGGTTTAATAGGTGTCAGATCAACCTGTACCAACTTGTAACAAATCCAAGCATTAAAATGTTAACATCCTGGGCCCAAGTCCTACAAGGTACAGTAAATGGAGGTTGTATGTTCTTCTTGGGTTAAATGTGGTTCTTCTGCTCCAAGTCTTAAAACTAAGCTTACTGGTACTTTAAATACCAGGTAATATAATCTACAGTTTTAAAGCCTTTTAAAGATATAGTTGAAAATTCTGATATAAGGTATGAAATGGTTGAAGAGCCACAAGAGAACACAAAGGTGTTACATCTACAGAAAACCTCTTACCAGCATATTGTTAAAGGAGAATTGTGGACTTGTAAAAAAAAAAAAAAAAAAGAAATATTAATCTGATGCTGCAGATGTCCCCCGCCAACTCTAAGCT